ATTCCTGCTCTGATGAGGCTGAAAAGCATTTTGAACTCTGTGTAGCTCAGCAAAGTGAGGAAAGGGAACAAGGAGGGAAAAAAACAGCAGTAAAAATGGAGAGGTGGATAAGGTGGCTGTAGGTAAATTAATGTGTGCCTTGTCTTATTTTGGAGATTCACATTATTGAATTGAACCCTCTCCAGCTTTCCTGACAATTCACCTTTAGACTCAGATAAGTATTTTTAGGAACAGTATTCCCCCATTGCTCCACTGATTATTCACTTTTCAGAGGAGCGTATTTTTCCTCTGTATTAATGCAGGATGAAACTTTCCCACTAGCTTTGTCTTTTCTTGAAGCCGCATGCTAGCAGACCTTGAAATGATCTGCAGAGACAGACATACAAAAGATATGACAGGCTGCTTTTGGCAGAAAGAAGCCTCCTTTGTTGTACTGTCATCCAAGGTCAGGAGGTCTCATGTAACTTCAGTTGCTTCTGTTAAAGTTGTTCAGTTAAATGATTATCAATTGTTTTGTTTGTGGGTTGTTGTTTTTTTAAAAACTGTTAAGTAGGAGGTTAAACCCATAAGCTTGACTCTTTCTTTTCCTTTGTGAGCTATTTCCGACAGATCTTGTTGCTAAATAGACTAACAAAGTATCCAATTGAGAAGGTATCCCTGCTTATGGCTTCATGTGGATTTCCTTCAGTCCACTTAGTGGACCCAGCTTTAGAGAAAGAGGACAAGGTGCATGACTGGACAATCAAACCACAGGCTGAATTCCCTTAGCCAATAAATTGCTACTTAGGTTGTTAAATTGCTTGGAAGAGAGTAGCTGCTATAATTTAATTTTTTACTTAAAGAATTGAACCAGCTATTCTGAAAAAAATGTAAAAATGCAATTTAAATGGATAATGGCCTGTCTATTCAGTGACATCGTGAAATCTGCTCACTGCTAGTTTATATACCGTGTAAGTGTTTGTGGCACTTAACTGTACACAATGATAGCAGCTAGCACTGGAAGTGCTAGCAGTGAAAATCTGCTTCTTATTTTTTCCCATAACATGTTAGAATTATTCCTTGTCATTCCATATCATGGCTGCTGGCACAGTCACAGATTTGTGGAGTGAATCTCTATAAAAGGCCTTGGATTACATGTAGTGTAAATCCATAGAGAATTTAATCCAAACTTTACAGATCTCGATGCTTTATTTGTTGTTAGCCCCTTTAAGGAAGTAAAGCAAGGCAGTGATTTTGTTCCTGGCCCTTTTCTCTTTTCTGTGAGGCATTTTGGAAGATACACAGTCAGTGATTTAACTGATATGGAACAGTTTTGTTGAAGTGAATTTGAGGTTCACATCTCCAAAAGTTTTTTCTTCATCACCAGATAGAATCAGAAGTATATCTTAGACCAGTCAAGGAAGTCTCAGATGAGAACAGGGAAGATGATACAAACTATTCCATAGTGCATTTACTGTAGTGATACACTGTCAGAGACATGATTTTGCTGGGTCCTTCTATATCATGACAAGGCTAAATCTTTAGCTGTTAATGGTCTTGTGGGTAGCTCAGAAACCTGTTTTTGTTGCAAACCCCTTCTGTCTCAGTCACTAGCAGAGAACTTCTAGTGAGAGGAGTCACTAATGTAATTTGCTAGAGTAAGTGATCCAGATGTGAATGGGACTGATGTCTGAGAGGGCAAAATAGTTCAAGGAAAATGTCTCTTTTACTCCAAAATGTTTGAAAATCAGTGTGTTAAGCATTCAGACTGTAGCTAAGCTTAACAGTCAGAGACTACCTTGCAGAGAAACAATTCAACTGGATTTATAAACAGTAGCACTTGGGGTCTTGTTCTGCAAAAGGAATTCACATCTCTGCAGCTGTTTTGCAAAAACAGAAGTGTTATCTCCTTTCCTGCTCTCAGACAGAAAAATCAATTCAGTTAATAGCCAGACTGATCCACAGGGCATTGTTTTCTGTTATTCTTCAGGATGGTGAACTGGTCTTGCTAGATGGTGGATGTGAGTCTTCCTGCTATGTAAGTGACATCACACGTACCTGGCCCGTCAATGGAAGGTATGCTGTGACAAAGCTGTTTTGAAAAACTTTGAGAAGCTCTTAAATAATTTATGGTTGAGTGCATGTGTTTATTATCTATATGAGTAGTTTTAACATGTCCCATTCTGTGATTCTTCAGAGTAATCAAATTATATAAACTAATCTTTCAGCATGAGAAGCTGTATTCCCCACTGCCTCATTAATTACTGCATGAATATGTGTGATTACTGCTGTTCTCAGTTATTACAGCATGCATAAAGAGCAGAGAGGACTTCTGTGCATTCAGCTGTGGCTGACTCCATTTGTGTGTGAGAAAGCAGGAGTTTAGTTGACCTGTACATGGCTCTGTCAGTTGTGAATTTCTGGTGTGACATCCTTGTGGTTGTGTGTTTGATTCCTGTATGTTTTGGCTCAAATACGGTGTTTTTTTTTCTCCAGAAGCTTTACTTTGTTTTGAGGTTAGGTTGTCAGCTGAGAAACCCTGCCTCTACTCAGTGTTTGGAACGGCGTGTTGTACTGATGCTGGTTGCTTTCCTTTCTTACTTCCCCTGCTTCAACATAGACTGGAATCTGTCCCCAAAATAGGTTTTGGGTAGAGGTTTGATTGTGAGAAATCACCTTTGTTCCTTCTCTCAATGGTTTTCAGGTTTACCAAACCCCAAGCAGAACTATACCAGGCTGTCCTGGATATCCAGAAGTCCTGCCTGAGCCTCTGCTCCCCAGGCATGAGTCTAGAAAACATCTACAGCCTCATGCTGAGCCTTATTGGACAGAAACTGAAAGAGTTGGGGGTCCTAAAGAGCAGCATTACTGAAAGCCACTTCTTCAAGGTACTGGAAGTTTTTTTACTCCAGCTTTCCTCTACCAGGCATTACTGTTTTTTTCTTGGGTTATGTTTGTGGCTTCAATTTGACTCAGGAATGTGCTTTTGAGATGTATCTTCTAGTTGTCCCTATGTATTGTGCTTTAATTCATGTTGTGGGCTAATCTCAGCACAAGACTGGATTTCTCTCAGACAAGGCTAAACTTGGAGATGTGTTTCAAACCATTTATCACATAGTATGAATATTTGGTCCTTGGCACTTGCTGTTTCACTCTGCAGATCCATTCCCATTGGTCTTCACAGTTGTTAGTGTAGATGCAGCTTTAGAGTACAGACAGACTGAAGGGACCTGTAGTGACACTGGCACTAACATAAAATTCTGGGTCCAGAGCTGGCTGCAGGCCATTAGTCACAGTTTTGTGATCTGTTTAACATAAGATAAATCCACAGTGCCACCAAAAGGTACAGCCCATTCTTCTTAGTCAGTCCACCTGCTGCCTCTCCTGTACCATTTTGTGTCAGTATTGGGATTCACAGAGCTACCTGGTGAGCAGGACTGGGCAACTGGTCTGCCAGGGAGCTGAGACTGCAGATAAAATAGAATTGGTTCACAGTTAGAGAAGTTTATCTGGTCCCACTCCATGCAAACCTGCATGATTGCTGACACCAATACAAGAAAGATGGCGGAACCAGGTGACAGAACTGCCCCTTTGGCAGCAAGACAGGTTTCTGCCAAGTTCAATTGTCCTGCAGCGTCAGCACAGAACAGCACGCGTTCTCTCCTGTGAGCTGAGGCGATCATGCCGGTTTCTCTCAGCAGGCAGCAGCACAGCCAGACGAGACCTGCCTCTGCAGCTCGCTCCCTAATGAATGTGAGGAGCATGGGGCAGAGGAGGAAATAGCTCTTTTGATTCC